TGCATGACACATGTTTTTGGAAAAGAAAAACCACAAGCACTTTTGTTGAACTTAAATTGTGTTGTTGGCACAAAAAATAACAGTTTTTTTTAAGTCGATTTCATTATGGGTGGAGTCGAATTAACAATCGTGTCTTTGCACAAACTTTTTCAGTTTGTGCTTGTGAGAGTTTTTCAAAAGAGGAAAAGTTTTCAAAGCGTTTTTTTTACTCGTTATTAAAGGAGTCATCGATTAATTGCGTATGTTGCATTTGATTGAGTGTGTTATGTTTTGAATAACTGTTAATGCTTGATATAACTGTCACAACGACTATATTTTTAAATATGTTGACCAAACATTAAACGAAATTCGACTACATTAATTGTACATTCAATTAACTGCATTGGTTGCTGCCAACTGCAATAATAGAATTTCTATATTCGACTGCATTAGTTAGCTTAGTCGATTTTTTAAAATACGTTTTAAGGAGTTGTGTTTTTTTATCTATAAAAATTGACGCGAATTTGATTTCTATAAAGAAAACTTTTGTGAATCTAACAGTTTGTGATATCTTTGCAGAATGTGCATTCTGACAGAAAGAGGAGAAAAAGGGGGCTCCAAGAAACAAGGGAAGTGGGGACCGTGGTGATTGATCTACTTGTGGATTCTTGAAGAGCAAAAGTTACTGCACGTTACCCAAAGGGCTGATTTCATATCTGCACATTGGGTTTATAATTGAGAGGATCAAGGAGGCGACAAGTTCTGTGAGATTGGACTACTAAGGTTCTCTCCTTTTGTGAATTACAGGGAAAAAAGAAGAGTGTGCTTGCAATTTCTTGACTAACTTTCTTTAAGGGTGGCTCAAAGGGTTTGGACTTGTAGGAGAGGGGATTTTTGAGCTGCTTAGTGTGTTTGTATACCTGCCTATATTTGGATTAGAGGCGTTTAGAGAGGAGAGGTGTTTTTGTTTTGTTTTGATCATTTTTGACGTGCGGTCGACTATTATTATTAAAAGTCTTTGTTGTAAAAAAAGCTAGGCTTCATTATAGTGCTATTGGCTATTGTGGTTGGAGAAGGACACTGGAGTGGCTTGTTGCCACGTATAACCCAAACTCCAATGTTTGATTCTTTTATTCCCTACACTTTTATTAAGTTGACTTACTATTTTACTCAATCGATTTCTTTTTTTTTTTTATTTCCGCTGCTAACAAAGTCTTTTTAACCTTGCGTCCAAAGGAAAAGCAAGTATCTAAAGGCACTCTAAACTTATTGTGTCGACCAAGTTTTTTTTTTTTTTTTTGAAGTTTTATATTTATACTTCACCTAATTCACACCCCTCTTGGTGTGAGACAGAATGAGGTCATTCTTTTTTACAAACAATGGTTGATTTTGTACTGGACCCTCCCAACAGTTGAGACAGCAAAGTTTATGCCGGCTCTGATACTGCAAATAAGCTTTCTAACTTATCTAAGATGTTCTTAGTACCCTGCTGAAACTAAATCGCATTAGGAGGAATAATATAATCGACTACATTTCATGATATGGTTTGAGTATCTAACATTTATCGCTATACTCTCATCACATTTATTACTATTTGTTATGTGCTCATTCATTCTGAATCTCATTGTTTCTTCTCCGTGTGACGTCTTCCGTTTGATGAATGATAACCTCCATGTTTGAGCTGTCAAGCAATATCGAATACTCTGATTCTGTCATCTCTTTGATAATTGCCTCGCAACTTGGCTTGCTATATACATGCTCTGATAAATCTCTATCTGGTGCTCTGATTACCTAACTATGCATTGACATCTTAGCAGCTTGCATACTAATTGAGGGAGCTGCCTCATGTGTTGTTTGTTAATTCTATTTCTATAAGCCTTGTATTGATTGATAGGATAAGAAAGTGAAACACTATTTATATAGGGATTATTGACAAGGGGAAGATTTACTTTTGATATTACGTCAAATGTCGTTAACTATTCTCTGTTTGCTTTAATAATATACACAGTTGTGCACAGGGGGGGACCAGTTTATACCTTTTTTGTTCATGCACCAAAAGGAGGAGCGCCTAATTGGGATTGTTTGTGACATGGTTCATAGTCTGATGACTATGATGTCTCGTGTGTTATATCTGTTTGAAACTAAGTTTTGGTTGTGCGATTGTACTCATGGTTGTTTTATACATCTGGTTTTGCATTACAAAAAAAAAGGGGGGGCAGTTGTTAAATAGGGAGCGAAGTATGGTGTTGAAAACCCTCTGTATTTTGGTTTTGATGTGAACACATAATTGACTGTCCAAAAACCATATGTTCTAATGCCGACATAATGTGTCTTGTGTTCATATGTGGTGTTCCAATGTTTGCTAGGTTTATAGTTAATACATAGTGTATCAGGTTATTGGTGCATGCTGTTTTTGCATATACTATTGCTCTAACTGTGTTTATATCTTCTATATGCTTGCCTAAATGTTTTAACGATAGCGATAAAACATTTAAAGCACAAAAAGCCATTATGATGAACAAAGTGATACAAGTGGTTATAAGTGATATAGTAAAATTGAATTCATTAGATAACTTAGTTTGAACTTGTGCAAAAAACAACAAGGTTTTAAATCATCTAGGTTAAGGGTTAATCGGTTATATGATAAAAATTGTGTCTTTTCCATAATCATTTTGAAATGGTGTATGCTGCAGTTTTGATGAGAAAAGAATTTACACAAATTTGCTTAAGGTTCGAGCTTAATCGATTAGCAGCTGTGTAGTGTAATGCAATAATGTTTTGAGTACGGTTCATAAAACTTGTTTTTTTAAGCTAAGTCATAACTGTTTTACGGTATATTTTTAATATGTGATAATATATTATGCAACAACGATTCCATAATGTGCCTGTTAAATTAAATCTGTGTTTGAATGTAATTATGTTACATCTGTCATTTAGTGTAACTGATTACATTACAACTGTAAAATGTTAGCAAATTGATGGACTTTGTTTCTCCAAAAAATCAAGAGGGGGAGGGGTGAATTTGTGTTTTATAAAAACTTTGACTTTTTAAATCTTTTTCACAAATAATGATGCTCTTGAAACCTTTCTTGCGCAACAATCAAACATGTGCAATAAAACAGTGTGCGAAAATGTGAATGCAAATGCAAATGTAAAGAGATAGGGAGAAGAAAATAAAACTCAGTTTTTATATTGGTTCGGCCTCAATGCCTACATCCAGTCACCCTCCCAATCAACCTTAGATTAGAGATTAATTCACTATAATGATTAGAGTATTACAACTAAGGCTTTACAGAGCAACTCTCAAATGTAAACACCTCACAAACTCTTAATCAAATATAGAACAACAAAACCTGCCAAGATAGAACAACACGTCCCTGTTGCAGTAAACCCTTTGAGATATCCCCTCTCAAAGTCAAGAGTACACCACTCTTCTTCCTGACGCCACACGTACAGGGAAACAACAAATCCAAGATTGTAAGTCTTCTCTCCTGATCTCCCAAAATGCACCTTTAGTTGTGCGAAAATGATCAATCTTTGTAGTCTAGTAATATGCTTCAAGATGATCCATTTCTTCTCGTTCTTTTTCTTTGAGCTTTTTATCAATGTGTAAAATCTCTCAAATGAATTTAATCAAATATGAAAATGTAAGTATTATCAATCGTTTTTTATTTTCAAACAATGCATCAATATATAGTTTATTTCAGTCCTGACGCAAAGTAATCGATTAACTAACTTATGTAATCAGTTACATTAAACAGATGTAACAAAATTACAACAACTTTAGCCCTTAATTGAATACGCAATTAATGTAATCGATTTTCATTAAATGCTGGTCAAACACATTTGAAAAGATGTTTTCGCGCTATGATAAAGTTTTAAAATTTATCGGTTTTTGAATAACACGTGACATCCTGAAAATTAGGGCGTTACAATTTACGTTAGCTCACCCATTTGTTTTGGTGGTTGTGCTTTTCACCTACGATGATCGTATTTTATACGAGAGAAATGATAGTATATGCATTGCATAAGGTGCACAACAATGAAAAATGTGAGTTGGACAAGACAACATATGCTTGGGGCAATCTTATACATTTTATTATTATTATTTTTTTCAAGTTAATAAGGTACAACAGTAATGCAAGACATGGATTTTTCTTTTTATTTGACATTTAAATAAAATGTGATGATTTTATTTTTAAGTAACCACTTGAGATATGTTTTTTCATATAACTATGTACTTAAGAAAATGAAAAATGGGGTGTTAAATAGAACTTTATAAACTATATTTGGGTGTTCATGGTTGTAAAGGGTCTTTGAGTGTCGAAATTAAAAGACAAATGTCGGTGTACTGAGAACTCTATGAGCTAAAGCGTTGTCGTGTTTGTTATGAAAGATTATATTTTTTTTAGAGTCATGAATTTTAAATATTGAATGAGTTTAATTTCAAATCTAAGATTTTTAGTTAGTGATATCAACTTATCATTTTATTTTGTGATTGTAGTTTCCACTTACGATAATTGTAAATTGTTACATATATTATTGAGAAAAATGTTTAACATTAAAGAGAATGATCAATATCAAATATTTGGAGGCAATACTTTAGTTTTATATTTTTCCTTTTCAATAAAGTTTATGATTGAAAAACAATAATTATTTTTATTGAGAATTTTTATAAAAATATGAATATAGTTTATTATGTAATTTCTGTTAATTATAAATTTTAAGAGGAAAAAAATTGGAATGATACAATATACTCTTTATCAATAATATCTTAGTAATGGGATGGACTTTGAGGTTCTTTTTCGTGATTCCAAATATCTGTAAATTTAGAAACATAACCAGATAATGCACCACAAATTAATGTTCCACAAATTAATGCTTATTATACAATCCATCATCATAAACCATATGAACAACATGACCACCTTGCCACTGTCTTTATTGTTTCTGCCCGAAACAACCAATTTTTTTAAAATCTGCTGCTTCCCCTTTAATTGTAACTATTCTAATATATAGGAACGGACCCTGGCTATCTAAGTAACACTGTCGAACAATTTGTTAAGCCTCCTCCTTCTCTCCTCATTATATTTTGCCACGTGTAATCAGATTCAAGAGTTTGACATGGGGTTTGCGTCCAATGCTTGTTCTTTCTGAAATCTCCGTCCATTTGCTCCAAAATTTGAACCCCTAACGTTATGGGAAGGTCAACGTTTGAGGCGGTCGTCTCTGTTTTCGTCACGGTTCACCCGCACGAGACCTCCGCTCTGCTCCATTCCTTCTTCTGCTTCTTTTTTGTGAGTTTCTCTGCTCAAGGCAGCCACCAAGGATGTTTCTCTTCCCCTTCAGTTTCTTTTTCTTTTAACTGGTCATTACTTTTTTGGGGCATTTCTTGCAGGTTTTGAGTGCCTATTTCGTGGTTCTTCCGTTGCGGGACGAGGGCGCCATCTCGTTGGGGTTATCGAACCTGCCAGGTCTATTCGTGGGGTCTCTGTTGCTCACCCTCATTGCTGCGCCCTTTTCTTCTCTCATATTCTCTCTGCCTAACCTTTCCAAAGGCAAGGTAAATTATATTTTTAAGAATTTTTTATTTTCCTTGCCCATTCTAAAGTGCGGATTTTAGTTTTGATGATTCATTTAGCCACCCTTAATCTTAAACTAATGAGTAAATGCCACTAGACTTGTAAATAGCTACACAATCATGCTTGCTATTGCTGCACACAGTGCCTATGTTGCATCTTCATACTAAAATAAATCAGAACACAAAGTATGATAATGATACATGTTAAAATCTTACATAAATGACCCAAACCATAAGTTCGTAAGGTTGAGCTATTATGTCAGAGCACAACAATTAACTAATCCATAGTAGTACAACACAATCATCCCCCAATGATAACTGTTCCACTAGATATACTAATAAACATAGACCACAGTACACACTCTATTAACCATTCAGGAAAATACAATCAAGAGAACTTGTAAGGTTATCAAGAGGTAAACTAGTAGAACCGGAATTTGCTGATCATAATCAGCTAAAACGATAAAGGTTCCAGCTTTGATAGTGCATTGGACAAACAACCTGAGTTCTGAACTTTGATGCAGAGGGCAATGAGTAAGTAGCGTATTTTCAAATGTGTAATTACATGTTCCTAAGGATTTCATTTAAAACGATTGACTGAGGTGTTGGATCTTAGAATTTGAGTCTATTTTAACTCCATAAAATGTGCTTGTATGGTTGTGGTAATTCCATGCTTGAGAATAATTGATATTCATTTACTAACTTGAGGGTGAGTGTTGTAATTAGAGGAAATATCTATAGAATCTTCTCAATCAGAGAACATATCTATATAATCTTTCTAATTAGAGAAAACATGTGTATGATAGATCTTCTCAATTAGAAAAAATATCTATAGAATCTTCCTAATTAGATAAAACATGTGTATGATCTTCTAGATTATTTTGTTTCCTCATTTCTCTTTCTAGAAGATTAGATTGCTACAAATAGAGGTAAGGATAATGTAATTACCATGAATTAAAATAATAAAATCATTCTCTTTTTCAAGTCTTTTATTGTTTCGTTGGTCTTCTTTATTTCTTCACAGATATTATTATATTATGTTCTCATTAATATAATCTGTGATGGTGCTCCTTGAAATTCCAGGCTTTGTTTTTGATACACAGGTTCTTTAGTGTATCCCTCATTTTGTTCTTTATTCTATGGCACTCCTCATCCGCTGGATATTCAAAGTCCAATTTTACAGTAAGACAATAGTATAACTTGAAGTTGTTTGCTGCGGTCTATATTGCTTGTTAAATTCAGAATACTTGCTTTTTATTGTCTTTTTATGTTGCTAGGGATCCATGCCCTTGACCTATCCCTCAAAGGAAGAAAGGAAAATTGGTGACCAAGGCAGTCTTACCTCTTCATTTGGTTGGGATAACCATGGATGGTTCTATATCTCTGTTCGTATAGGATTGTTTCTTTGGGTATGGTTGATGGTTTTATTTTCCATTTAGAATCTAATGTCTAATTTGATTTCACTCTGCTGTTAGCTTGTTTCAAATGAAATTTTTGCAGACTAGTTTATGTTATTTTGTGTAGGTTGCTTTGCTTAATCTAATTACAATTTCTTCAACTTGGGCAAGGGTAATTGATGTGATGGACAGTGAGGTTTGTTTGGTGCTATATCACTTTGTTTTTGTCTGGATTATTTAGGGCCTACTTAACATACTTTGGGTTCAGTCAGGTTCAAGATTATTCGGGTTTATTGGTGCTGGTGCCACCCTTGGACAACTTTTTGGGTCATTGTTTGCCATTGGGATGGCTTTTGTTGGCCCATGTAAGTTTGCATTTGCCCTTAACTGTCTTTTCTCATAAGTTTTATTGTCATATCGTGCAACCATATGTTTTGCAGTCTTGCTTTTGTTTGCTGCATTATTGATGGAACTTGCAGCGCAGACATCAAGAGGGATAAATTGTGGTACATCTTATGCAGAAGAAAAATTGTCTCCCATTAGGTCATTTTACATATTCCTTTCTTTGTAGTTATACACGAGTGAAAACACATAAGTATTGGATGGCCTATGTATACCATTATTTTAATTCTGGGGGAATGTATTAACCTTTAAATATAGGGGGCATCAAAAACTAGAAATTTGTTTTGGACCAGTCCCTTAAATCTGGTTACAGGTCTGTTAACAGTATAGTCTAATTGTATTTGTCAATCACAATATTTCTGATTTGTTTGTTCATTGTGGCTTATTTTGGTGGCAAAATTCTGGTGTGTTGGAGAGAACCAATGATCTGCAACAGGAGAAGACAACTTCTCCGTGTATATCTGCATATACAAAGTAGTTAATTCAAAGTAGTTAATATCCATGCAGAAAGGAGAGGCAGCTAGTTTTACTTCCGTATTACTAGGGTTTTTTTGTTTTTTTTTTTTAATTTTCCCTGCAGATGGATGCTTTGCTGACACAGTATATTAGTTAGCAGCATTTATATTAAATCAGTGGGAGAAGTGGGTACATGTCCAGGCCTCCTGTCTACTTACTTTTCATTATCTTCCATGTAAATGAACAGTCTCTTTCTCTAAGGTAATTTAAGACGCCGTGCTAATAGAACTGAATCCGAATATAGGAGAAAAAACAGAGTACTATGATGGGATAACTTAGAGATGAAGATACAAAGCAATGATTGTAAGTTGTAGCAGGGAATTTCTGTTTCACATGTGGACATTTAGGAGTTATACTTTCCTTTTGCATTTCTAAGTCCCAACCCTCTCCTTACTAACTCCTACAATCCCCTTATATTTTTAATAATGTGTTACTTTATTTGATACTTAGATAGTTACTGCTAGTAACAGCCTTGAGTCCTAATCTGTTTGGCAGGAGCAAGCACAAAAAGTTGATACTAAGACAGGATTGGAGGTTTAAAAAAGAAAACTAAGAATACCGTTGTAAGGTAGTTTTACAGCTCAAAGTTAGTTAGAAGGGAGGAGCCCTTTAATAAGAAGCTTAAAGGGGAAAGGGCAGAAGTTTTGGGGGATTCGTGTGACTTGTAACTGGAATAATCCAGTGGAAAGGAGAGTGCTCCTTTCTGGCATCTTTTTGTGCATTTGGTGAAATAAAGAAGTTTTAATTTTCTTTTCATTGTTCTTCTCTGAAAATAGGGTTGATTCCTAACAATTTTGGTCCAACATGCTATATCTTTGATTGCAATAATGGAAAGCAGAGTGCTTTGGAGAAATGGGTCCGTGAACAGAGGAAAGAGATTGCAAACCTGAGAAAATATATGACTTTGTGAAGAATGCATATAAGACATGAGAGAAATAAAGAATCTGCTTCCTGAAATCAAGGACACAAACTGTCAAATGGAGGAGAAAACTCAGTAGATGTGTCAGAATGGGTCAGAGGACATCAACAGTAACAAATCTAATAAGGACAGGACAAGGAAGAACTTCTTTGCTCGTGTTAAAACGGTTGGAGTTTCCTACGTTCATCCATAGAAATGATGGCAATGGTAGAAAATTTTTTTGAAGTACAAAATGTCAAAAAAATTATGCCTGGCCTTTATTAACACTGAAGGAAACTTAAATATATCCTTGGACTATAGGTTGTTTATTCAGAAAAGGGAACTTCCTTCTCCTTGAGAAAATATATACTTGATCTCCTTAAAGAAACAAATAAGCTAAGATGTTGAAATTCAAGAGTTTCTGTTGAACAGAATCATAGAACTAGAGTTGTAGAGGGCTATCCTGTAGAAAAGACCCAATATTAGAGATTGGTAGGAAAACATTTATTTATCACACACGATCCCAAACATGGCTTATTTAGTTGCCAAGCCAGTTAATGCATGATTTTAGACAAAGAGACATGTAAGCAGTTGAAATTTTTTCTTAGTATTTGAATTCAAGCCCATGAAAGGGGCCACTTTTCAGGAAAGAAGATGCTTGACTTTGAAGATATATACTAATACTAATACAGATTATGTAAGTTTTCTTACTGACTGCAAGTCTACCTTTGGGTACTGTATATCTTAGGCAAAAAGTATAGGGTCTTGGAGAAGCAAACAATAAAGTGCACAAGTTGAATTTCAAGCTCCTACTGAAAAGTGCATGTGAATGAATTTGGATGAAGATCATACTAGATGACCTTAAAATAACGGATGGCATCCCTGTGCAATTGTACTATGATAACAAGTTAGCCATGAGCATTGCTCATAATACAATATAGTATGATTGGACCAAATATATTAAAATGAACACATACTTCATCAAAGATAATCTTGACAAAGGTCTAGTGGTTACAACCTATGTTCTTATAGGACTCCAGTTAGCATACATCTTCACTAAGGGACTTCCTTAAGATTTCTAGATCCTGTTGGTAAGTTGAGAGTGATCAATATTCATTTATTAACTTTAGGGAGAGTGTTCTAAATATGGGATAATTAATCTGAAAATATCCTTGTTAGGATATTTATCCTATTTTATCATCATTATAGTATGTCAAGGGTTATGAAATGAGGTTTTTCTCGAAAGGAAATAGATGAGAACAAAGAGGTATTACCAGAAATGTGATCAGAAGCACCTGAGTCAATTACCCATGAATTTTGACATTCCATAGATTGAGAAACGCAGGCTGTTGATGTATTGGGAGATTGAGATGGTTGTTCCAAGCTGTTAGACTTTAACCTTAAATACTCTTGATATTCATCCTCAGAAAACATAGAAGTGGAGGTTTCAGTTTTCGAAGTGGAAGTTTCAGTCTTCGAAATATTGGCAGTTTTGGAAGGGAAACCATGTAAGGAGTAGCAATTCTCTTTAGTATGACCCATCCTTTTACAATATGTGCATTGAGTACGTCCCCGACCTCCTCGTCCTCCTCCTCTAGTGCCACGTCCTCCTCTTCCTCGTGTGGCAACCATGACAGATGGTTCCACTAGTTCATGCGCTTCTTGAGTTTGAGATACCGGGACACGCAGAAGGCGAGTG